CAAACTAGGGGATGAAACCGGTTTTGCACACTTTCCGGTAGCCGATTTTAATAAAATTTGCCAAATAGATGTAATTCCACGATCTTTTGAGGTCGATTTTTTTTATAATTTCGGATCCCAAAGAAACCAATCCCATGTGTATATATGCGATGTAGATCCGAAAACGTAGTTTCATTTCCTATGTGTAACAATCGAAAAAAACCTCAGAACGTAACATTTTTCTTATGTACCCAGCTAACGGTGTTATTAAAATACTTACAGCAACTTTCGATTGTATAACTAAACATTCCCTGTAATATAATATACACACTACAATCCCAACTGTAGACTAAATGGTAATTTTTTTTTTTTAATTTCCTCATTCGGAAGGTAAAACCACTTCGGTCTATAGACTATTCGAAGTGTGAGTTCAGTCAAGTATAACAACAGGTACCTAGTACGTCGTTACGCTGTGATTTCCGTCGCATCTATCTTGCCGATAGCCATCTGGCTACAGCCACGGGCGAGCGCCTCCAGAACAATTGATATCTTCCGAAGGTCGGCAAATAACACGTTGCTCGCAATGTAGAGATGTGTAACTGCTACCGTAGAATATGTAGTATCGAGTATTAGGCACGATATGCTAAACATATTTACTTGGTATTCAATATTGATGATATAAGAGTGGAGGACATTTTTCAAATGTTATTTAATAGACTGGAGTGCGCAGCGAGAAGAACAAGAGAGCTTGTATAAAAAGATTAATGGATTGTAAGTGAAGCAAAAGAAAGAAAGATTGGCAATTGACAGTCATTGCTTACCCCAATGAAAACCCAGAGTTTTTTTTTGTGATAATATGGGACGGGACGAACAAGACCTGCGCCTGATGGTAATTGACAGCCTGACAATCTCGCAGAGATCTAAGGGGCACTGCCACTGCCTCCGTCACCCTGAGACATGAATTGACAAATCCCATATGCCTACAATTCACTAGCGCACTTAATACCCTTTAAAACCGGAACGCAGTAATGCTCACATTACTGCTTGGCGGCAGAATTAAGTATGACGGTAGTACTTCCCTGGACGGACTCTTTTACAAGGAGCTCTACTGCTTCTTGGTGCGATTATAAGTATGTTAAAATACTTACTTTAAAATACTAGGTCAGCGACCCGAAGTGGACACCAAAGTATGCCAATTTTGTTCAATTCCTTCAGGTCTTTGGCGAATAAATTCTTCCAGCGATATCTCGGACGGCTCACTCTACGATGACCCATCGCTTGCCCCAAATACTCTCTTTTGGCAGCTCGATCCTCTCCTATTGTTTCCACATGCCCTAGCCTGTGAAGGCGGGTTGATTTTGTCTCCCCAATTATGTTCGGCTTGGGAGTCCACTCTCATTCGACATCCTTCCACAACATATACTGTCAAACAACACTAGCTCTTCTGTCTCTATGTAAAAATGCGTCATAATTTAATTTCTTTACAATTTTTTTTCTTCAAATCCACGATTTGTAGTATCGCATGCCCAGGTGGCTTGCAAAGTTTTCCCTTTGGATCGTTAACTTTTTAAGCTAATTTTTTATATTATCACGTGACGGGATAAACAATTCGGTCTGGTGGTATGTAATACAGACCTTAGCGCTTTTACTGAGCCCACCACTCTGAGACAAAAAAGTTAACAAGTCCCATGTGTCTGTAGTTTTACCAGCACTCTTACCTTTTGAAGTAGCTGCCAGCATTTAGTTAAACTAGGAAATTGTTAACGTACAATTAACTACAGAAACTCTATGTGTTGCCTCTTGTACAAAATATCTAGTGAGCTTTGTTTATTTCCATTAATTAAAATTATAGTTTTAAACATGATCGTCATACCTGTGTTATCAAAAATAACAGATACAAAAAATCGACGATATGTAACTACGTAAAAAATTCAACTCTAAGTCCCAACTATTATTTTCAATTTTCTAACAAACAATACACGCTTATGGTTATACAAACAAGGTCGAAAATCGAATGTCAATTGATAGGAACAGCAACAAATTAACTTTGCCAAGGAACGTGTGGGTTTTCTGAACGTGAAGTCAATTGTTGAACGGAAACGGTTATAGGTAAGGAGTAATTTAGAATCGGTTTTTCATCGTCTGTCATGGGCACTGGCCACGAGGTCTTACCCTGAACTGATTGATGGAAGCGTGAACTGAGATTTTAAAAAATACGTCTTGATTGGCAACTCGATTAACAAATCTTACTAGTTTTCATACGCACGAGAAGTTATAAAATTACCTTATCCTTAAAAACATTTAGTAGCAGAGCTCCATGTAAAAGAGTTCGTCCAGGGAAATGCAAACACCATATCTATTTCTGGTTACTGTTTTTCGGTTAAGGTGATATTAAAGGTACGTGAGACTTGTTTTCATTGCGATTTAAAGCACCGAGTAGCAATGCAATTGTCGGGCAGGGCTGTCCCTTGTGACCATTTCGTTACGTTACAAAAATCAAAGCTGTATTATTTAATGTACCACGTTATTGTAAGTCAAGTTATATATATATACATTAATCTATTTATTTTGTATAATGTACACTAACAGTGGTAACAGATAAATATTTAAATCGTAGTTAATAAAACTTAGGTGGATTACAGCCAGGTGAAGGACTACGTCGTCATAAAGAAGGATTGTCACTATTCTTGGAAATCTTGTGAAGACTATGTCTTTCATAACACTCTCTTTAGGGACCGGTACCAAACAGTGGGATATATAATTAGTCATATCATCATAGACATGTCATCATTCAAATGCTATGAACTCCATGAACCAATTTAAGCATAAAAAAGCTCCTGGCCTTTTTACATCAAGGGTGCCACTTATTAACGCCTTGGACCAATAAGTCAAGATAACTGCTAAACGCGATACAAGACAGAGTAGTCGGATATTTAGTACCTACAGTTACACCAGATGTCGCAACGAGTACCAAATAGCTATTTCTGTAACTAGATGGCGCTTATTACAAAGATTTTTTATGGATAGTGCCGGCTAATCTTGTATTTTGTTTAGCATTAGCGCCATCTACCCACGTTAGGAAGCGTCAATTTATAAATTAGTTTGTAACATACAATGCCATCTATTGACATGCATATTTGTCAAAGATTCTTCAGAATAATTTTTCATCACACTTGCTCGTTTTTTCGATTTTTTACGTCAAGATTAAGCAAAAAGTTTTTGTGCTCGAAAAATCTGAACGTAAATTTCGCCAAACTTGAAGTACAAAAAAACAAATATTGCAATTTCTCGGTACAAAACTGTTTTAATAAATTTATTTTGAGAATTCAAATTCTGCAATATTTTTAGAATTTAGAAATTATTTATTTTATATTGTGGCTGTATGCGTCTGTGCCTTATATAACATTGTAATTCGAGTTGTATTTATTTATGCAACAATTGCCGGCAATCTGTTTAAAAAGAAACGCAAAACCCGTAAATGCTGTGTTGTGAAGCGATATTTCTTCATACAAGAAATAAATTATCGTTGTACCTATATATTTCCTCGAGAACGTGATGAAAAACATTATATGTAGCACGGGCGGTAAAAATTACAAATCTCGATGCATTACACATTCTTGTTAGAAATTAATACACAATGTACGAAATATTTGCTCTTGAATAATATTACAAGGAAAAAAACTGACTTCTTATATTTCATATTAAGGAGGAATTAATCAATATCCACGGCCTTTTACGTAAGATAAACTACATTCAAGCAATTGATCAGCGCCATCTAGCGATAAAATGGTATTTTGACTTTCAAAGGTACGATCGGTGGAGTTCTTTTAAGTTATTTGGTCCATGCAATAAAAGTGGAAAAGACGTAGCCTTGTTGCTTCCACTCAGACTGACATAGACGTAAGACTTTGTCTAACTGGTTTAATGGAATTCTATGTCGATAAGTGTGTTGATTCTATGAATCGTAATATCATAACAAGAAGTGATACGAAACAACCTTCACAACATGACTGACTTATCATCCACTGATAGACATTTACAAGTCTAGTAACAACATGACACAAATATCATATTTCCTCGAAAAATCATATGACTTTTAATACTTTGATGTCACAATTTTTATGTATACTTGAATATATTAATAATAATTCTTTTGTAAACTAATAATTTGCTTTTTCGTGCGCAGCTCGAGAGATATTATGAATGTTTTACGATCGAATTTTATTGTTTTATTGTGGTTTTGGATTTTACTTGTTTTAAAGTGAACAAATGTAATGAACAGAATATTTAAATTGTGGTAATTAATGATGATATCTTTAACGTTACGCCAAAAAGTTTGATGATAACCAAAGATATATTTTATTATATTAGTTGATCCACAATCTAACATTGCTTCAAATTGGATTCAAATTCAGAAACATTTTTATTTCATAAGCAAGCAATAATGAAGGAATAATTAAAAAACTCAATGGATTGTTCTTTCTAAATAAACATTCGTTCACATTTGCAAGATTGATTTCAAATATCTTAGAGCTAAACTGGGCACCACTATGGATGTTTTTTTACGATAGAATAAGTGCGAATTGCACCTCCCTACTCACGTGATGGAAAGTGACGATAAGGTCAACCAAGATGGGGCATGCACACCTAAATAATGCCTATTCACTCTCGCCTTGAAAAGGCCCAAATTACGGCGTTCAGGGAAATACTGTCACTTTACCTATGTCTGCCGCCAAGCAGTAACATGAGCATTACGGCGTTCCAGTTTTGAAGGGTAAGGGTGCTAGTAAATTACAGGCACATGGGCTTTGTCAACTTATGTCTCAGGGTGACAGGCACAGTGGGAGTGCCCCTCAAATCTTTGTGATTTGAAAGTCACTTTGAGTGCCACTGCAACTGTTATAGACAGGCGTGTCGCTTTCCACCAGATGCACGACTTGTTCCTCCCGTCACTTAGTAACATAAAAAAATTATAAAGTAATCACTTACAAACTAAAATTCTATTTCTCCTTGCCTCACAGATCGCCCAACTAGTAGAAGACGTTCGCCGGCTACAAGCATCACTTACAGCGCTGCAAGAGACGCATGCACAGCAGTTACAACGATTGGAAGAGCGACTGGATGAGAAGAAACAGCACATCGCGCGGCTCGAGGCACGACTTGACACGCAGCGCGATTACGATGACATTAAACGAGAGATCAGGTGAGTATGGTCAACATTCTGGGATACTTCTCGGTTTTCATGTAACAGTTAAATTCAACTCTACGAATCCTACCATAAGATAGTGCAAAGTCAATGAGAAAGCAGCTTGTCCAAAAATAATACTCATTTTTTTTTATAAAGAAGGGAATATTAGGATTTCATCTGTGTCACGTGTTTCGTTCATTTTGAACGTAAAACAATTTTATAAATACTTTAAAACATAATTCTCAAACACATTTACTAGCTTTAGATCATTTTGATTAGTAGTATTTAGTGCCTATTTACGCCTTACATGTAAAATTTCTAACTTTACACATGTATTTCAAAAACTTGCACTATAAAGAACTTAGAAAACATGGCTTCCTTCCAACGCATGTCCTTTTTTACGCGCCAAACAATTAAGGTCGTTTTCTAGCGTTTGATATGAGTTTTCTAAAAAGTTTTCGATATCTTTCACCGAAAAAAATTGCAAAATTTTATTGCGACAGTGCCTTTTTTATAAATTTTCAACATGTTTCGTCCAAGAATACTGTATTTGTGAGAAATCAATGCCAGATGTCGGAGACGTGAGTGTCACAGTTTTTTTTTTTAATTAGCTTAGGTATGTGTTGTTTATATGTTCAATTGACCAGTTTTCATTGTAAATTAAGTGTAAAGTCAAGACTGCAAGGACACCACGACGTTAGTCGCAGATACCCCTTTAACAACGTCCGTAGCTCCGTTTGGAGAGCGTCCTGACGGATCGAATGAATTTTTCTTTCTGTTCAATCTTTATATTAATAATTATAACAAACCAGTTGAGTAATTTCGCAAAAATAGAAGTAAAACATCGTGATGTTCAAAAGCTTAATAGCCCAACAATTTCGACCATTTCAGTAAACTCTACACTGGTAAAACGATTGCCCAATACGAAGTATAGATAAAGTTGGCATAAGAAAAAAAACGGACTACTGTCCTAAATGACATTTTCCAGAAATAACGTTTGGTCCTAATTTCATAAACTCAAAAGTAATTTTGAGAGGAAAATGTTTTTTTCTTTTAAACCTAACATAACCTGACCTAACCGAACCTAATCGTGTCCTTACGATAAACATTCAACATATGCTTAAAGAACAACCATTTCGTTATAATTCGGTTTTCGGTATAATGAAAATTCGAACAAACGGACAAAAAAAGTCCGACTTTGTGATAGGTTACCGAAAAAAAAAGTTAAATAGTTTTTTATAAAAAATCTTGTATTTCGTATATTTGTTTTCCAAAACAAACCAACGTTTGAGGTTTTTACTGGTCCCATGGTCAAGGCTGACTGAGATGCTAAAATCATTAGTCGATTCATGTCTATTATTAATGTAAAACCACCATTTATCTTTCACTATGATTACAAAAGCTATTAATAAAATCTTATTTTTAATTTACTAAAGAACATTCAATTTTCTATTATGTGGGTAACAATAGCGAAAAATAAAAACTCATACATTTTGACGATGTTTTCATTTGCTGTAATTTGCTGTTTGAAGAAATATGTTCACGATCCCTACTTCTTTGTTTTCGTTTTGTCAAAGTTTAAAAAAAACATAATACTTATGTTAGGTTTTCTTTATCCAAGTGTAATTTATAGAGTGAAATTGGCAATACCTACGTAACGAAACAAAATTGAGGATTACAAAGTACCTATACTCGGTAGCGTAACGGTTTTCACTGTCGGCGCTGAATGCGTAGGTTCCGGGTTCCATTCCCGGTAGGATCAATTTGGGAAACGAACTTTTCTAAATTAGTTCTGGTCTGGGTGTTCTGGGGAGTGCCCCAGAGTGAATTCCATTGCTCTGGTACTTACAGCACTGGGAATTCCCTAGTTTGTAGGTTTAGCTCTATGATATTCGAGCCGCTTTGCATTTTCAGTACTAAATGTCCTAAGTTTAAAATGTTTCTATGATTAAAAGCTGTTATGCTATTTTGAAACTGGTATATTATTATAAACGTCATTTTCATGTGTCCCTATTAAAAATTTGAATTTGTAAATTCTGAGAAAACTTTTTCTTCGATGACAGCAAATGTTTATTCAAGTCCTATATGAATAAAAATGCAAGGTGGCTCGAATTACGTGTCCGGAATTATATATCCAATACAATCTGGAACCGTTCCATCAAAACATTTATTATCACTTCAGAAAACAGATAATTTTGTGCTTCTTTTTCCACATATCTGCGAAATCAGTCACTAGCGCCAATAAAACTTCTTGCTTAATAATCAGAAGACAAACTCGAGCTAAAACATTACTAATATGGACTAATAAAACCTTTATTTACTCCTGTGCAATGAAAACAAACTTACAAAACAAACAAACGACATGTTTCGAAACAATTTCTCTCCATAATCTTGTCTATAAATACAAATTTTCATATACAGATGAAAAAAAATACAATCTGCTTAAAAGTTCATTAGGGTTTTAAGAAGAAAAGGTTTATATTTCCTATTTTATCACCGGCAAATGTAACTTGGTGATGAAGTACTGGTTGTTTGCAGACCCTACCAGTGACTGATAACGAGGCGCTTGGCTCTATGTACTCGGTAAATAGTTTTATGTATTAGAGAAAGTTGGTGTTCTGTTACTCATACAACAAATTGTTTGCTGAGAAACAAATAGAAAAAGCCTATAACACTGTGTACATAGCCTACAGCCTATAAGACGTTAAATATTGCCTTTGCCTTTTAAAATAATTTACAAGACAAAGTAATTCAAATTACGACTCTATATTTGTTGTTTTTTTAAATAATACTAAGTGATGAGACTTACAAGTCGCTACTGCGCCTGTCACCCTGACACATGGAACTTGTCAACTTATGTGTCAGGGTAACGGGCGTAGTGACGTTTACCACTAGACCCATGAGTTGTTCGTCCCGTCATTTGGTGTCATAAAAAAAAATGACGAAAATTATTTATTTACTTTACAACGACTTTGGTTATCTATATATAATCATCGTCAACCCTTTATATATCCCACTGCTGTGCATTTGCACTTTGATTTTTGGTACTTTTTAACCCCCGACGCAACAGGAGGGGAGTTCTAATTTCGGGTCCACTGAAAATCAGCATCACAGCCTTTTCTCGGCTGTCACATTAGCTGAGTGGATTGTTTCACATCACACAACCGCACACATGAATGTTTTCTTTGATGTTTTTGTTTTTTTTTTGTTTTTTTTAGCTTTGTCTTTTTTCTGAGTAAATTTTGTGTTGTGGCGTTGTAAAAAACGCTTTCCATACTTATTATATTCTATTTTGAACTATTTTGTAGCATTTGTCTGTCTGATTTCGAAGCGTTTCTTTTCATTAGAATGCTGGTTTATAGGATAGTTGTTAGCTTAACTGTTTAAAGACCATTAGTTCTTTTCCCTGTTAGTGTAGTTTACTCAACCCTGAAATATATCTGGGAATTTATAATTTTTTGAATTTTAACCTGACCTCTTTAAGGACATCCCCTAAATGATTATATGTCTAGTTAAATAACGGGCGTAAGGGACTTATCAACTTACGTCTTACACCGTTTACGCACTGCATTCGACACGTTTCAAATCCGACACCGACAAATCTAGAAAACTCGGACTAAGTACGATTCAAATCCCAGAAAATAAGAACCGTCATTTCTCGGATCAGTGAGTAGTGTGCGAACGCTCTTAGGGTGACGGGCGTAATGTTAGTCCACCTCAGATCATTGCGATTTAGAGCTCTGAATTGCACTAAAGTTGTTGTGGGACATGCGATTACCAGGCACACAACTTGTTCGACCCGTCGTCATATCATAGAAAAAACTTTAAAAGGTCTTTTCTTCAAAAATGTCTTTATTATAAAAATTCAACACTATCTTCGAGACTTAAGAGTGCAGTCCTCCACCAGCTAGTCAAGACACGTGTTAAACAAAAGCCTGCAGATATGCCTTATCAGCGAGTTCGTTGTCCTCACAAGCCTTGTACGGGGCCAAGGAATAGTCAACATTTGTCTTACTCTAGTGTTGAAATGCTGTCATTTCTGTTTAGTTCGTTACATTACCATCTTGCATTTTTATCAATGGCGTAAAGATCTCATCTACATAGTTAAGCATAGAAAATTTCATCAAAGCTGGCGCCGAACAAGAGGCTGGCAGTGGTTCAACTTTCTAGGTACATAATTTAAGTAATTTATTGCAAATTAATAATAATAAAATACAAAGTTTTTAGTCTTCTTTTAAATAAAAAAAAATAACACTGTTTTTGTCTTAACAATCTAGCAAAAACTTCCCACTACAGAGACAGCTAATAGCAGTGGTAACCTAATAATAGGACCTACTATCTCTCAAGCAAAGAGTCAAGGGTGCGAATTCAGGCTTGCACCTTTGAGTTTTTCGGAAAACATCGCATTTTTAGGTTAAGGAAAACATCGCAAGAAAAGCACACATCTGCAAAGCAATCCCCAATCCGCATTAGGAGACCTGTCCCCAACAGTAGGACTATGTATAGACCAGCTATTATTATTATCAAAGGGAGAGAAGAGTTAGGCCGTAGTCTAAGACCATACGTCTTTCACCATAATAGAATCCCCTGAAACTCTATCGATAATAAAACAAGCAACTATACTCTTTTGTACTTTCCAAAAACACAAACAGACAACTCTATCCCGTGAACAGTCGTAAAACCCCGTTAACAATTAACCGGGACGTTAAAAAGTCCCTTACCCCTTAACTACCAACATCGGAAGTGGTTAGTGATTAACTCTTCACTTAACACTGTCAAAACAAAAGTTTAGAAAGACTTGTCGGTTAAAAAAGTCCAACTAGTTAAGTACAAGTAACTTGCACTTATGTGACTCAAAAAAAATTAACTAAAAATATCGTAAGAACTGTCATCTGTGTTTATCAGACAAAAATTACATTTCTCAATGGAAGTTAACTTTGTACCTTATTTTAAAGCTTTTAAGTATGTATCAATTTTTAACGACCTCTGTTGTCTAGTGGCTTGCACACCGGTTT